TCAGATCCAGTGATAAAAGCCATCTTCTAAAGAAAAAAACCTACCCATTCAGACTACTCTGTTATGTGAAAGAGAAATATACTTCTAAATTGCTTAAGTCACAGTAATTTTGCCCTCTCTAACTTTTCTTAGCCAAAAAAAAAAAAAAAACAAGTGATAAAGAGATTTGATTGAAGGTAATGTTTTTAGTTGATGTCATCAACAAGTGCTGTGGTCCCTGTGCCTTGTAAACATCTCTCTACTGTTGTACTTTCACTTCACAGCATATACCGCTTGTTTTCAGCAGACCGGAAGCGAGTTGAAACTGCTTTAGAGGCTTGTAGTCTTCCATCTTCAAGGGTAAGCATGGTGCCATTATGAATGTGGCACTGCTAAATAGTTCGGAATAATCAAGCTAAAGTCTTTCTTGCCCCAACATTATCTGAACATAATTTTTTCTTTCCAATTATATTGAGAAAGAGTTGGCATATATCACTGCATGTTTAAGGCTTAACTTGTGATGGTTTGATTTACATATATTGTGATGTGAGGCACACAATAGGTTCAACTCATCTCCATGTTCTCCTATAGATACCATAAAAAGAAAAAAAATTGTTTGAAATGTTTTAAATTAAATGCCTATTTATTGGTATTTACAATATATAGGGTAACTATAATTATTCTCCTTTTAACTTCATAGTGCCAGTATTTTAAACTTAGAGAGACCCATGTTCCTTATAAACTAAGTGTGTGTGTGTGTCTTTGTATAAAATATAGGCTGAAGATATTGTTACCAATAATTTAAATTCCACATTTAACAGATCATTTCTTGAAGTATCTTAAATAAAGGCGAATAGTTATGAATTTCAATCAAGAAGATATTTGATATATAATTTTGTCTCATCCTTTTATGATTTCTATCTTAAAATGAACTCATAAAATTCAACAATAAAATAAGCAAACCTATTTAATAATGAGCATAGGATCTGTATACACTTTTCCAAAGAAGACATACAGATAGTCAATAGGTGCGTGAAAAGGTGTTCCAATGAAAAAGATGTTCTTATTAGAGAAATATGGGTCAAACAACATTGAAATATTGCCTCATGTTTGTAAGAATGAGTATTTTCAGGGCAAAAAAAAGCAAATATTGAAGATTCCATTAGATCCAATTTTCCCACTTCTATATATTTACCAAGAAAATACACGAGCACTAATTCAAAAGATATATGTATCCCAGGTTCAATGCAGTATTATTTCCACCAGCCAAGAAAGCAACCTAAGTGCCCTTTGGCTAATGGAAGGGTAGAGGTGGGGTCTGGATGATTTCACTCACATGTGAATGAAGTAAAACAACAAAAAATAGCATCACTTTTGGACTGTACAAACTTTGAAAGAAATAGAATGTTTCCAGTGTCAGACTTAAAAGTTAATAATTACAGTAGTATATGCTTTATAAATAAATATATTTACATACTCTGGAGGGCTGTGCTAAAGAAGTTTTACTGAGAGGAGTACAGAATCAAAACAGCTAAGAGCCTACTTTGTACATCTAGTAAGAGAAGAGAGGAAAAACATGTAACATGCTTTTCAAAAATCCTGACATAGTGGAGGCACTCAAAATTCATTAACCACATAAAATAAAGAAATTTGTTTTCTTTTTAGTGCCTTTCTGCTTATCTGGCTGGATAGTAATATTGAGCATCATTTCTAAGAGAACTGAGTCTGTTGCATAAAGCCTTTTTCTGGTTCTGTATGCAGAACTCTTTTATTACAAATTATTTTTATCCTAGTTTCTAAGCAACAAGTAAGCTCTTTCCATGGATAACACTTAGGCTACAGGAGGAACTTTTGAGCCTCTTGAAACATATTGGCAACATTCAAGTAGCATTGAAAGAAGTTGAGAAACCATCCTTAAATTTTTTATTAAATTATGAAAAAGTGTTGAGTGCTATTTCAATTCATCAGCCAATTGTAGTTGTGTATCCTCTTCAGAAAAGTGAAGTTTATAACAACTTTGATAGTTGATAGAAAAAAAAGAATGTCTCTCTACTATAAGATTCCTGCTGTTGGTATAAAAAACTGGAAATACAGGGTAGAGTTATGGAGAGACTTCCCCCAAAAATTTTAGCCTCACTGTAATAAGCAAAATAAAAAGATCGAATGTGCATGATTACTCTTTTGTTAGATACTTTGGAATCAGAAGGATGTAACAGCTAAGGTCCTGTCTGGACTCAACAAATATTTCTTGAGTGCATATTAGGTGTCTGCAAACACTGAGAATATGGTAGGGAAGAAAATGATGTCCAGGCCTCAACAACCATAGAGTTAACTGGTGGTTTTAGTCAACTGACGTGTGTGTTGGAGAGAATGTGTGAGAAAGAGCAATGGAATGCTGCTATAGAAATAAGGGCTTGCTTATTCCAGAAAAAGAAAGTAATGTGTGCATAGTCCAGAGGCTGGAAAAAAATTTAAAGGTTCAAGTAAGTGATAACAGACAACTGCATTTAAACATACAAAGAAAGTGTGAAATATGAATTTAGAAAGATATATAAAGACAAGTCTAGCTAAGGCAAAGAAGGAATAGAAAATGAAGCTGAATAAAAAATTAATTTTATCAAGCAATCCTCTATAAATTGAAATTTTCTAAACAATTGGATTTTGGAAATTCAGTCAATAAATGGAAATTGAGTTTTTACAATACACTATGTCTGTTATAGGTTCATGTTTTCATGCCAATGTCAGCTGGAGACATTTTAAAAGGACAATGAAATTCAAATAACAGGAGTTATGTTTTAAGTCAAAAAATATTTATTTTAGTAAATTAAATGTTATGACAATTTCTGGAAACAGATTTTTATAAAAAATTATCAACCTCAATCATAAAGTTTGGGAAGATCATTACTCAGAATAAAGTATACTTAAATAGGAGGGCATGTAAAATTAGAATGCTTGAAAAAAATCACCTGCCTCCTCTAGCACCCAAGAAAAACAGGTATAGTTTTGGAGCTAGGAAATAAACGTTTGTGTGAACTGACGATATTTTGAATTCTTGTAAATGCATATCTACAGAACAGTGATTCTAGAAAGTATCCACTAAGTAGCAAAAGGAGTATAGATACACTTAGGTGCTTTAAATACTGCGCAGAAGAAAAGGTTACATAAATGGTAGATAGCACTGCCTATCTGGAGACTCATTTAATAGTTAGCAGCCATCCAAGATAGTTTAATTGTGTTCTGTAAATAGATACATTACCAGAAACACAGTGGATATCCTGTTGAGATTTTTTAAACATTATCGTTGTGCACATTGTTAGGGATAATTAATGCACTTGAACTTGTATCCTGACCAACATGATCCATTGGAATAACACATTCCTTTTGAGGGTACTCCTTTGGAGAGTACAGTCATTTGCCAAAGTTACCTTAATTGTTAGTAGGCACATCATATCAAAAAAGAGAGAAAAAGCAACTACTACTACTATTCTTCTAGTAATAATCAGACTGGCTATTTTCCAGTGAGACCTCTGAAGAACTTTCCATATTCATAAAATTACCACCTTATTCACAACATTCTAGTAGCTGAAAATAGTTTTCTACCAAATTACCTTTGATTTAAGACTTAATAATGTGAAAACCACTCAGTGACATTGGGTTGCATTGTAGTTTTAACATACAATGGAATATGTATTTGCATTTTAATGAAAGAAGAGGAGGAATAAATTAGTATATTTCTTTTTAAGAAGTTTACAATAGTTAAGAACATATATGTAATACCAAGGGATTTTAGATTTAAAGAATACTATAAATTTTATTAAAGATAAAAAAAATTGATAAAAGAACTTTTTCCCGAATAACTATAATATTTGCCTTTTCCTATCTCTTACATCCAAATATAAATCAGAAATATAATCATTTCTGTAGCTGTGATTCTTAAAAGCAATAATATCAAAAATTCCATTTTAAAGCCACATTAAGTATTCAGCTAGTTATGAGTAGTTTATTTATCATTATTTCACGTTCTCCCTGGCTAACTCAGCTTTTGATTTATAGCTTTAGAACAAGAATATGGATAATAGAGTGAATGCCTGAATTTACTGAAAAATAATCTATAAACTTGCCAAGACAGGTCTTTATTGTAGAGTCAGTTCATTAGTGCCCATGGCAATAAACCAGTATCTTTTTAAAATACATTTTTCTGAATGCTAAATTCCTGTTTATTAGATAATTATTTTCCTAATACATAAACGAATTAAACATACAAACCAGAACCAAAAACTGATGTGAACATATAGCTTACTGGCTTACAATTTGAGTTATGGGCTCAGGCAACCTTGATTCAAAATGTAGCACCTCTGCCCTTTGACAAGTTTTCTAAACTTTCGGTATCTTATTGTTTCTATCTGTGAAATGGGGTCACTATCCATGCCAGCCTCTTAGAGCTAAAAGGAATTAAATGATAACATTCAAGTAAAGTTCCTAGAATTACATCCTTAGCATATAGTGCATACTCAATAAGTATTTAGTTATAGTTTCCTGTGAATGTTTTTTCATAGTTTCTTTTTTTTTTGATTTTTCTTATTTTTAATTTGACATGCGGGCATGCCATAACCTGGTCCATGGAATCTGAAAATGTAGATGCCACCAAGCTTTTAAAGTACAGCCCACAAGCTTTTAGCACCATCTTTCTTTCCCTCTGGAAATTATTTATATATAAGTGCAGAAATGAAGCAAGTCCACCTTTTTAAATTTGCTAATACTTTGCATTTCAAGGAAGACATAAGCCTGCTTTGGACTTCAAAATATTTTGATAACAATCACTGGCAATTATTTTGTACTGGACACATGACATGGTGGACCAAGTCCTGGACTCTCAATCAGAAAACCTGAAATCTGGCCCTATCCTTTGGGCTTGTACAACAGACATTGACTAGGTATATCCGTCATATGCCAGACATCATGCTGGGCACAGAAAGGTATCAATAAGAGATAGTCACTTCCCTTAAAATCTCACACTCTAGTAGAGAAAATCAGATAGTATAAAAAGTAAAGAGAAAATTGTCACAGATGCAGCAATGAGTGTAATTAAAGGTGGATTGTTGGCAAAGAAAAAAATATGCATTCTTTCAATGATGTGGTCAGGAAGAGGTCACAGGAGAGTCTTTGAACACTGAATGTGACCTTTTGAGTAAGGAACCTTGGGCTTCCCTACCTTCCCCTCACATCCCAGTCATATAGGCAAAAATGAATCTATTCCATTAAATTCACCAAATCATGAGATCTCAGAAAGAGAAATGTGAATGTTCTTTGTTAACCTCATCTTTTTAAAAATGTAAGTAATTAGGAATTATCCATAGCTATTTTCCTAAATAACTCTCTATACCATTATACTCTAATGATGCTCATTTTAACTCTTTTCTACAACCTAGTTTTCTCCCATTTTCACACTCTGGGCCCAAAGGCTTTGGAGTATCTGCATCAATCAAATTAGACAAGTGAAAAATGAGCAAAGAAAGTCAATTGTATTGAAATGGTGTCCTTTTTTTTTTTTCATATGCTAACATATGATTTTTAGTATAGCATATTGCTCCATGACTTAGTTTGAATCTGGTATTCTGTGGGAAATATACAAGAATCCTCAGTATCAATTTCTACTTTTGTTATAAGTTATATTCGTTCATTTAACAAACATTTATTGTACATATACATAGGAGTTAGGCCAGTTAACAAGCAATGCATCTCCTTCCGCTTATATAGAATTACAAGCTAGAAAGGAATAGAAAAAGTATATAACTGGCATCATGATGCAGTTAAATGAGCATTGAAATATGAGGCTAGCAAAATATGATGGGAGCGCAGATGGAAAATAAAACCCAATCCAGGTGGAAGACTTTCAGGCAAAAAGTTCTTTTATCCATTAGCAAGCAGTGTACATTCTCAGGGGGAAAATGCAATCAAATAGAAAGAAGACAATTATTGATGTCCTTCAATAAACCAGTGTGTGTGCTGGTTGAGGTTGGGGGCAGTGAGTAGAGTGAACTCTGCATAGTAACTAAATAGTAGGGCAAATAGGAGAACAAACTTGGGGGTGATAAAAGTAATAGTTGTTTGAGTTGACTAACAAAACCATTGAGTATTCTCTCACATTGATTTTTAAATTTTCTCTTCCCTCTATCTCTCAGGTGAAAGTAAGATAAATAGGTTCATTTCAAGGTGGCCATAAAACTGCTTAAAAAGACTTGTGTGACTGTCCCAGAGATAGGGTGGCACTGCAATATATGCATTTTCTAGCCAGAGGGATATCCTTTATTTTATGCTTCAATGGACTTTAGGTGGGTCTCCCTGGTGGCACTAGGGTTTAAAACACAGCACTATGAAGTTACCTACAGCCATTGCAGCACCAGTTCAATCCCATGCCAGGGAGCTGACCCACATGGTACAACAGACCTCTTCTGCCTCACCCACTGCTCCCCTCAGCAGTGTATTTCAGTCAGTCCAACTGTTCTGTTCCTACTCTGTCTCTGGTGAATTCTCTCACCCCCAACTTCTGGCCTGCACCACAGTTCTTGTGTGCATAAATAAATAAATCTTGTATGCATTTATAAATTTCGGAAATTTCAGGAAATAGGTTCCTATGAATGGAACCTATATACAGGGTATACTTGCCCCATTTTGTAAGTGACAAAATACCAGTAAAACAAGCCATGGGACTTTCCCATTATATATTTCATTCACTCATCCCACCAATATGAGACTATTGCTATTTGCCAAGTGATTAAGTACTCTTACCTGTTAGCAAGCAGTGTACATTTTTAGAAAATTTTTAGATAGTCCTATAAAAATGTACTTCAGAACAAATGACTATGGTAAAAGGAAAAGTATTTTCTTTGGTTTAAGGATGTGAAAATAAAAATAACCCATACAAACACATACCTGAAATAGGAAAATTGCATAAAGAGTGTCCTTCCTGTTAACAAATACATGCTTCCTGTTTCCATAGCAGCCCGACTAAACAGAAAATAAGTCGAAGTGACTTTATATCAATGACGCTTCACAAAAATGATGACTACTGTCTGGTTTAGAAAAACTGCTTTACAGCTTATCAGATTATTTAAGCCAGAGGAACACTTGCGGGGCCGGGGGCGGGGGGTGGCGGGAAGACACATAACTGAAAATTTTTGTTTTCATTTTGAAAGTATCTGTCTCCATGTTCTTTATATATATATTTTTAATATGCAAACATATGAATTCAAACAGCATATGAACAGTGCCTGTGTAAGCACTCAAGCAGTGTGGTTGTCCTTAAAAAGGGTTAAAATGAGAAATTTAATGTTCTGTATAGTTTACAATAAAAAGATGAAAGTCAAGTTAAAGTACCCTACAAAAACCCTGGTATATAGACCTGTTTTTAACTAGATCTAACTTTCTTATTAGAAGTACTTACTGCCTTAACATCCTCTAGAAAGTAAATACTTTTGTTCTTAAATTATAATGAAAAGGAGAGAAAATAAGGATTTTGATCACTCAAAGCCAGTTCTAAATGAACTCTGCAGGTGGGCCCATCCATGTTTTCTGAATGTTTGCCCTGACCTCTTAGAAGAACTGGAGGAGGCAGGAAGGGTAGAAAGAAAAGAAAGTGAGAAAGGAGGAAGATGGGGAGAGAAAAAGACAATTTGATAACCACCTTATTTTTCTTTCCAGAATGATTCAATACCTCAAGAAGATTTCACTCCAGAAGTGTACAGAGTTTTCCTGAACAATCTTTGCCCTCGACCTGAAATTGATAACATCTTTTCTGAATTGTAAGAGAACTCATTTTAACCCATGCTTCTGTGGCTTGCTGTGGTATTCAGGGTGGTGGGGAGCAGGATTTTTCAGCAGTGATAGAGGGAGATGGAAAACCCTCTTCACACCCACCATGTACAGTGCAGACCTTCTGTGCAATTTGTTGAATATTTTCATGCATTCTTGTCCCTCTCCCTACTTTTTTTTTTTTTTTTTCCTCTCCCTACTTTTAATGACTGGAATTTTGCTGTGTCTTATTGGTGGGCATGCTGTATGTAACTGTTTTAAGGACCTCAGGTTATTTGTGAGGTTTGAATATTATGGTTGAGCAGAGAAAAACTCATATCACAGAAAAAACTCTGAACTGAAACCAGCACTTTATCTCTTTGAAGTGCATTCATGAAATGAAAAGTTTGGATAACTAAGAAATCGCACAACTCAAAAAAGTTCTTTGTTTTTATGCAAAATTATTTAGGCATTGCCTTTAAAAAATTAATTTGAAAAAGAAAAGAAACAAAGTACCAAGGCAAATGCGGGGAGCATAATAATTTACCTTTCTTGAGATATTAACACCTACATGCCCAAAAGTTAAACTTGAAAAAACAAAATAAAGATTTCTTTACATGTAGCATAGGCACAGTCCTGCTGAGAAGACAATGGATATGCTCACTTTGGGATGTCTATTGCCATCAATATTTATTGAACATCTGCAGTATTTTACCCCGACACTTGTTTTTGAGTTGTCAACAGATTTAAATGGAAAGTTTGAATGAGACTATTTATTGCACAAGCCTACCTAACCAAGCAGGTTCGCTGGTGATTCAGGCAGATAGATAAAGAGAGTCTTGGAGTCCTCCACAGATTGGACAGGCCACTCATGCTAAAGCAGGGGACCAGACACAGGCAGGCCGAAGGCAGGCAAGCAGCAACTGCACCTCCTAGCCCCTGCTTCTCAGCTCAGGTGTCTGCATTTACAGAGAGCCCCGTGCTCACTGGCTTCCAGCCCAAGTGTCCATAATCAAAGCTGCATGTGCCCGCTGCTCATGCCTCGCAGGCCCAGACATCCATGCATGTCCAGAGCTTGCACTCCCAAGCACTTGGCACCAACACACTACCACATGTGGGCAATGAAGCCTGGAGGAATGCAGGCCGCAGGTGGTGGCTGTGCAGGCCAGCGGCAGGAGGCAAAAGGAGCCTTAGCCACTCCATTTTGTTACTATATTGCAGGTATATAGACTTTTAATAAAGCATAATTTCATGAAAATAAAAATATGCCTAACCCATTATTTTTAGTAATGAGTAATAAATACATTTAAGTGATTAAATGATATAGAGGAATTCAATGACTAAACTAGCATTTCAGTGTCGTAATTAAAAAAAACCACTCTTCTTTATTCATTAGAGTCTAAGGTGCATCTTAGCAAATAAGATGCAGTATTTCCTACTGTGGGTTATATTATACATTGATATTGTTCAAGGTCATTGGAATGTGGAGGCAGTAGTTATAAAAGATCTCATAGCCTACAGAGATACAGCAGTGCTGAGAAGGCGGCACAATATTTTTAGTACAAGTTAGGAATTTTAATATAGCGTGTTTTTACCAGTTACAGCAGGGATTTTTTTTTCCTTGTAGATAAATGCAAGTATATGAATGAGACTTCATGAGAAAATATCTAACTTCTTGGGTTTTAATTGATTTCAGTGGTGCCAAAAGCAAACCATACCTTACTGTTGATCAGATGATGGATTTTATCAACCTGAAGCAGCGAGATCCGCGGCTCAATGAAATACTTTACCCACCTTTAAAGCAAGAGCAAGTGCAGGTATTGATTGAGAAGTATGAGCCCAATGACAGCCTCGCTAAAAAAGGTCAGTCCGCTGGTCCGACATGAAAGTTGTTGTTTCTCATATGTAAATGGGTCACACCAGGTAGTTAAAGACAACATTGATCACTTAGGCAGTTACCTTCAATAGTAGGCCTGCTTTCCTTGTTCTGTCACTGGTGATTTAATCAGAAATGTTTGTTTGTTTTAAACTTTGGTGGATGTATTTTGTTATTGTGTGAAAATATAAATGTAGCATATTTTTTAAATACCATAATCATTTATTTAGATTTAACCAGTGACTTAATGCATCTTTCTCGTTCAGGAAACTCACTACCCTAAAGATTCCCTTTTGGTTCTATTTCTAGGAGTTCTAGGATGTGACCCATATAGTTTTTTGAATCTCTAAAACAGAATCAAATACTGTCTAATAGACCCTTATTTTATTCCAGTTTACACAATTGGTGAATGTTTCCACAATTGGTGAATGTTTCCACTTGAGGAAATACTATAATGCCTGCCTTTCTATGAAAAGGTAGTTTAAATTGGTATCAGGACAGCTCTAGGTTTCCTAGAAGTTATTAAGAAATTTCTGAAGAAATAAGACCATGAAGATTTAATTTATGAGCATTTTTAATTACCTGTGGCATCTTTGTCCCTGAGAAGAATCTTAAGCTGTGTCTGTATGCCTAAACCAAATCTCATCTGGACTTAAACATCTTTATTGAAAAATTTTTGCTATCACCGATGTTGGAAATTGCTTAGTTACTTCATAAAGAGGAAAATAAAGTGCAATTGAACAATGACTAAAAAGGAATAAGTTGCATGTCCGTTGATAATAGTAACAGAAACAAACTTAAAATCATTAAGACTAGTTACCATAAAGTAGGTTAGAATGTTTTTAGCCTATTATATTTATTCTGGAACTGGTCCTCTAGGTGGGAAATGAACATATTTAATATAAAAACAAAATCTTCAATTTTACCCAATATGTAATCAGTTAAGAGTCTATAAGTGAATTTTTGAGTTTTTGTTTAGTTCATTGATTACAAATTTGCCTTTGCTGTTGCTGTCATTCTTGTGTTACCAGACCCACCCCTGAATCTATTCAGATTTTCTGTCCTGTCTTTCCTAATGCAACAAGAGATGGGATGTCTCCTTATCTTTAAACAGGGAGGAACTCCTTGGAGATTTTGCCTAGACAGCTTACCACTTCCCTTCTGAAATTTGAACTTGGCCAAAAATAACTAGAAGTGTTAAAACAAATCCAACAGGACTTCTAAAAACAGTCCATGATACTAGGAAAACAAAAGGCTTTTTTGTAAAATCAGTGAGGTACGTCAAAACCTCAAGTTGGCCCTAACCTACCCCCTTTTCACCACAGTACTGATAGCCCGTGTTTTAATCAGCAAATTATGGCTCCACACATCATATTCTGATTAAGGCATGCATACAGAGGAAAAAACAATTTTTGATTCTAGTGAAAATTAAGATGAAGCTTCTTAACAATTATAAGTGTATTTATTATCATGTTATGGTTCTCTGGGATATAAATTCCATAATCACAGGATTATAGCCACTCACAAAATTCATTTATATTTAAAGTAGCAACATTATTTATGTCACTTTGTTTGATATTGATCATGAAGCCTTCCTCAGCATGGATGTGCTTTTTCAATCACAGTATTCATTTAGTACCACAAACTCTATTATTAAAATGAACTTGCCATGTTTCTCATCACTTCATTTTGTTTGCTGCTTTGACTCATTTCTGTGAGCAGAGATGAGTAGAAAAGGTTGTTTTATTGTATTAAGTATTGTATTAAGAGGATTACAATTTTAAAATATTTGTTTATGGACTAGGAAAGAATTTGATTAGACTTCAATGCTTGTGCTAGGAATTAATTTTCATCTAATGTGGAACTTTCAAAACGGATGATATTATTTTCCAAAGAAATTCACCATAGTTTTGTGCCCAAATGACTTACCTAAGATCTCATAATTAGATTCTCTTTGAGTAAGCAGGATTTTTAACTTTTAGTGAACTACTTCATTCAAGCATTTTGATCAATAAACAAACAGGGAAATATAAAATTACATAATTTATTTCCACATGAGAAATACATTTCCACATGAGAAATAAAAGTTACATTGGTGCCTTTGGCAAAGGACTGCAGATCTCTAGATTCAACAGAAAGATCTGTAAAAGAAGGCCAAATTTAAGTAAATTGTCAAACCAAGACAAAACTGTTGCATTTGTTCATAGTTTTATTATCTTTCTAGAACAGATTTCATGAGTATTTGTTAAGCAATTAAATTAACATATCAGAATGTGCTATTAGCGGATTTTTTTAAGCTACATTCATTTTTAATCACTTTTTAAAGTTTTATAAGGTGTACTATAGAAAAGCTTCCCTGTTTTGTTGCAATTAAATCATAAAAAATGCCACTATATAAATCTTTCAGTATTTGATCAATATTCACTGAATTTGAAGTATAATAGTTTAAATGAATTCAAAATGAATAATGGCAAAGCAATTTGGCTTTAAGCACAGCATATAGAAATATAAATATAGCAAGCATTTCTACTTCAAATAAACCCAAATTAACAGTGATTACATTAGTATAAATAACTAAAGTGCACTTTCAATATTGTTTTATTTTAAAATGCTCATAAAACTGGGCTATATTTTTTTTCACTGTTGTCAATAGCAAGAAACACTCAGAATTTGATAGATTGCTTACTGGGCTTGGGAATCTTGTAACCTATAGTACAGGTGGCTCTTCAGATGAAAGAAAGGAAAGAAACAATCGAAACTGAAATATCAAAAGGAATTTACTAATACATATAGGGAAATGGTCAAGGTGTTAATGACTTAAAGCATGATTGCATCTAGGGCTCAAATGATGTCATCTGAAATTGCCTTTCTTCATGCACCATCATTTTCTCTGTACTAGTTGTGATTATTGGGATGAGAAGAAAACCAGCAGCAGTAGCAGGCCTATCAACTCAACCAACGTCAGGAGAATATAAAATGTGTTTTACTCGTAATTCTATTAAAAGTTCCTCAGACTTGGGGCCCTCCCTGGTAGCACAGAGGGTTAAAGCAGAGCACTATGAAGCTATTGCAGCCACTGCAGCACGAGTTTGATTCCTGGCCAGGGAGATGACCTACATGGCATGGCAGACCTCTCCTGACATGCTCGCTGTTCCCCTCAGCAGTGCATTTCAATCCATCTGCCTGTTCTGTTCCTCATTCTGTCTCTAGTGAATCCTCTTCACCCCCACACCTCTGGCCTGTACCCCGTTATCTTTAAAAAAAAAATCCCCATACTTGCACCTACCCCCACTCCTGTACTTGTATCACTGTCACCTCAGTGTGGAATGTAGTATTTGGACAGATTTAGCTCCCATGACTTTCTCTACCCCCATTGAGCAATTAACTACCTGAAGTTTGTGGATTTGTTAATAGCAGAGAGGTTGTTTCTCAAATTGACCAAGAATGTGCTTCTTAGAAGAAGGTAAGGTGATCACTCTGCAGATAAAAACTGTAAACATATCCCATTAAAACCAGGTTAGATATTAACAACTCATCATCACTGCTTTTCGTATCTTAGGAAGACATTTGACCTTTTGCCACTTCTACCTTCTACCTTTCTCATCATTGAAAACATTTTCTGAGAATTCCTACAAAATAAGCTACTTACAATAAGAAGTTTGGATATAATTGTTTACCACTAAGCCTTTGTCAACCTGAACTAATGAAAAGTGATCACTTACTTCAATATTTAAAAGTGGAATCTTCAACAGTATTTCAAATGTTTATGAGTCAGGAGATAAAATTTAAACTTTATTCCAGAAGAGTTCCTGAGGGTTTCTATATCTCAGGTAGCACACTGTTTAACTAAATACAATTAAGAGTGTTAAAAGAATCTGGTGTTGAATTTGAAATTATGGCATGTAGCTAAACACACATTCATTTTTGAGTTAATCATTCTTTTTGATTTTTTATTAAAATACAATTAGAATTACCATTTAAAATAGAAATATTTATACTGAAATCTTATTACATCATTATTTAATTTTTCTAACAGATTATTTTAAATAATTATTTCGAAGGTGAAAATTTTTTGCCAGTACCATTCCTCTTTATTAGGTAGTTCTGTTTTGTTTTTAAAGATTTATTTATAATTTATGCATACAGAACTGGGGTACAAGCCCGAGGTGCAGGGGCAGTGAGAGGATTCACCAGAGACAGAGTAGGGAGCAGAACAGGCAGAATGACAAGTTACACTGCTGAGGGAAGCAGTGGGCGGGTCAGGAGAGGTCTGCTGGGCCATGCGGATCACCTCCTGGCCGGGGATCCAACTTACACTGAAGTGACTGCAGCTGGCTTGCAGTGCTGTGTCTTAACCCATTGCGCCACGGGGAAGGCCCAGGTTTTTTTGGTTTTGTTTTTATTTCTAGTTTTGTTTTTTTAATGATACTTTTATAATCTCTTTTGTGCATCCTTGAGAGGTCAAGTAGGCCATAATTAAAGAAAAAGGCTAGCCCAGTATTCTAGTGAAGCCATTTAACCTCAAGCAAGTGACTTTACTTGAAGTTGGGTTCCTTACCTGGAAAATGGCCTAACACCAACACTGGCAAACATCTGTTCTCTTTCCCTGTGCCTTGGCAGTCACTACCCTAAAACTGTCAACAGCATCTTAAATCTCCTAGGACATTCTCTTAGCCTAACTGCAGCCCATCCAGCAATGCTTAGGAATTTATGACCTCATGAGTAGTCAGAAGGTTAAACATTTCTCCTACAGCCCTTTTTGTGAGACAGGTTGGATACATGTGCTCCATCCTCAGGCTCCCCAGTGGGGCTGAGTCCTAGCTTCCCACAACTGTGGTCTGCTTGATCACATTCCCTTTATTAACTGACTCCTTCTCTTCTCACATCCCCACTTCCCTACTATTATTTCCTTGGTTACCTCCCAGTAAGCTATGTGCAGTCCAACACAAAGCCTCCTTTTCCCCGTTTTTCCTTTTTTTATTGAAGT